GTGTCACTTGTGTGGGCCAAGATTAGAGGGAAAAGCACTTAAAGCTTCAAGTATTAAATTGTTCCGCCCACACCCTCCTTAGCATTTATGTGTCTAATTTTTTGCGGGGGCAAGGTTTACCCTTTGATAGCATGCGCGCACAACGAAATAGTAATTAATCTACAAGTAGCATCTCCATAATCTCTTTTGTTTTTATGATTAGCAACTCCTCTTTCTATGATTAGTATCTCCTTTCTAGCTAATCTTTCTGCAGCCTTCAAAGGATTTATGAAACGAGTGAACAACCCCTCTGGCAATTATTTTTTCACTTACGAATTTCTGTAACAATGCCACTGTGTGCAACTGCATGTGTTATGCCGATTCGATCAGCTTTGTTTATCCAGGGGCAAGGGTGGGCGTTGTTTTGGAGACACTATTTATTTTTTTAAGGCGTGTGTGGAATGGAGGTATTCCCCCGGGCCATTCTATTCATAGCCGAGGTCCCCCACTTTCCCCCCCTTCGTCTGGGTTGTCTGGTGCACTAGCCCTGCGCCCGCCTTGTTTGAAAGTTAGGTGTTAATTTTTTTTTTTTTGCAATACTGGTCGATATGCATTGTGGGAACTGAGCTGTTCATGTGGGCTTGTGGGCCCGTTGATTAATTAGGGAGAGCTTCGCAGTAGTGCTAAAAACAACTTCAATGAAGAAGGTCCTTTTATCCCACCAAAAGTGCTGGTGTCGCGATCCACCCTTGAGGAAGAATTTCGTCTTGAGCACTGACTAATCTATAAGGGTGGGAATTTGTTCTCGAGCCTTATCCTGGATGTGCTCAATTTGTCTCATGAGAAAACATTTAAACTTCAATGCAAAGAAATAGTCCCGATACATTTCACCCCCAAAACTTAAAGTAAAGTAGAACAGTATCTTTATAGTTAATTGTAATTGTTATGTAAAGCTCTAGACCCTTAATTCAACAAATATTGATTATTTATGTTTGTTATTGTCATTCATTGCTATTTGATTCTATCATTATTTGCAATGGGATGAAGTACTTAAACCTTAGCAGCGGTACCCAATATGGAACTACCCAACCTTTGCACTTATCATGCACATTTATAACCTTTAAGAGAATCCTTCTGCTAGAATTTTAGAAAATGTTACGTCGCTTATCCACAAGTTGTATACCCCTTAATCTTCTGAATAGATACTATGCCTCCAAAGAATCTGTGAGCGTAGAAAATTCTCCTCGAACGGAGCCTCGTCTTCATAGAAAACTGTACCATTTGACTTTGAGAGAGGAGAAGGAGGAAAAGCTGCGTGATTTTCTCCCGGCAAACCCACTTCTTCCAAGTGGGTGGTCCTTAAGGCATGAACCAGGTTCTAATCGTTTTGATCTAAAAAAAGAAGTCGAAATACGAAACTGCGGAGCCGAGGTACTTCATATAATTGCTCTTATGGAAGTAAAGCAATATGAGCATACTTTCCGTATGGATAATGGTGAACGTGAAGAGCAAGAGTATTTGAATTTCACACTTTTTTTAAAGAAAAAAAGGTATCCAAAAGGTGGTCTTGAATTTGGATTGACCTCTATCGACATGGAGCTTGTCTTGGATTCATTGGCTATCCATGATTCCGATGAAAGTATTGAAAACGCAATTACTGCATTCGATTTAGATCCAACAACGAGGTCTAGTCCTGGAGGGACCAATCTTTTTAAGCGACGAAAGCGTGATAGCAGGTACCGTGGGCCTATGATTAGTGAGTTGGATGATGACCTATCGGATGAGATTCTCGATTATTTAGATGAACGAGGAGTTAATAATCCTTTTGCTGAATACATGATGTCGCAGGCTCATTATTTTGAGCAAGAGGAATACCTTAATTGGCTACACCTCCTCCGTCGCTTTGCAGATTAGTTAGTAGTAAGGGAATGTAGTTATTGATATTGTGATTTGGCATATATATATATACATATATATATATATATGGATTTGAATTTGCTTCCAATCATCTTCAACATATGTTATACTGGTAAATAATTGAATTTTCAATTTTCCAACGTTTTTTTTTTAAATGAGGTAGGACTCGATACATAATAGCATAATGTTGAAAAAAGATATATGGTTGAGAAATTATCAACGGGGAGGATGGAGCCCTGGTTCAAAACATCAAAAGCATATGACTTTGAATCCCTCATTGTTTTTGTACCGGTTTCCAGGTCCACATGGTCCTGGGCCGTACACGATGAAGTATTGGTGGACATTAGGGTGCTTCCCAACGGGCTTAGATTCTCCTTTCAGGCTGAAAGAGTTTTTAGCGACTTATAAGCAACAACACGTTCCTATCGAAGTTGAAGAGTGGCTGAATTGCTTTCTCAATGACCCGCTTCAAGAGCTAACTGCAGCTGTAGAGGAGCTTTTGGATCAACTGGAAAACTGCACAGTTGCTGAAAGAACAAAAGGGTACGTCGCGCATGAACCCTCTGTGGTACACCTTTCAAATTCGCTCAAGAAGATTGAGCGCCAACTTGGAGTGCGAATACCACCTATAGGTGTCAGAGCAGCTTTAGCTGGAGAAAAATCCTATTCAAAGCTCATGGATGATCTCTACAATTATAAAGAGGCAATAGCGACGAACGGAAGTACTCCTCATAGACGGTTTGCCAGGATATCATTTGAAGAGATGGACTCGATTGAGCACCGAATTGCGCCAAGCAAAGTCGATACGGTATCAAATGATGTTGGCTCGGCGGTGGGTAGCTTTGTGTCAGTACCTGAAAAGACTGCCGACGATGAGCTCAAATTAATTCGACTTCTTACTACTTTTGCTGAAGGTTGTGCATCTAAGAGAAAGTTTGATGATTCATTTTTTTTGCTGTCAGGCTCACTTGCATTTGCACATGATAATGCTTGTAGATCTATAGTTCACAGCAATATATCCATAGCTGCACTGCTTGATGGTAGATTCAAAGAGGCTGAATTTCATGGGAGGGAGGCTGCTCTGTTATCGTCCAACAACAAAGGGGCAGAGTCTTCCTCAGGCACGGCTTATCGATTATGGGCCACAGCCGTTGCGTATCAGGATGATTTTAATAGCTCCTTAAGTATTATTGATGATGCATTGAGTTTACATCCCAACAACCAGGAACTTGAGAGCCTGCGGCAGAAGATACTATCTCTAAAGGAATCTAGTGGAAGGATGAGTCCTCTACTGAGGGGCAAGCGCTGTCATCTTAAGTCACAACAGGATCGTGCGCTGATTGAGGGTTGCGGAAGAGCATTTGACAATGAATTTGATCTGATAAAATTTAAGAACAAATTATATCCTGCAAAAATGGATCCTTCTACGAATGAGATGGGATCTGTGTTCCGACGTGTGGGGGACTTAGGCGGCTTTATATCAAGCTCACGTTCCATTGAGATACTCTAGCTTGCTCAATCAACCATTATCGAAATAGTAATAGCTATGTATTATTAACTAATATATTCATATATATTTACACTCTAAAAAGGGTAAACGATATGAAATGTTGATCCACTTTGGTCCATTTTTTTTGTTGATATCTTATTTTAAGTATTTATTTAAACTTGAAATAGTTTCAAATTACGTAAACCAAATTGTTCATTGTATTCTTAATCTGACGAAACAAGATGTCTCTATCTGTTACTGAAGCATTTAATAAGCATCAAGTCGTTCGCGCGGATGGTGAGTCAGCACTTCCTCGGTCGAGAATTCCCATCGCCGGACTTGAGGCCGGATATAACTTACCATCTCCAGTAATTAATGACGCAGCTTCTCATTCCAAATATTCAGGACAGCTCACTTCTGAAGAGTTTCTTGCTTTCTGTGAGGCAAACGAGGGTTACCATATTTCCCCTCAAGATATGGCGAAGTCTGTTGTTATTGTTGCCCCGTCCAATGTTATCACACGCGCTTCTCTCGAAAAAATTTTAAGCGAAGCCCGTCCCAGTGATAATGCCTTGTCTGAGAAGGAAGTTGATGAATTGTTCAACATCCTAGATACTGAACATAAGGGAGCATTTACTGCTGACCATTTTATGCAATCTCTGTATGGTGACGAAGGGTCGATATACTTGGCTGAACAACGTGCAGATGATGTGATAAAAGCACAGATGCTGAAGAAAAGGGAGGCGGAAGAAAAGGCTGCTCGCGAAAGAGAAGAACAAGCGAGGCGTGAAAGGGAAAGGACAGCGCGAAATGCAGCTGCAGCAGCACCTAAACCAATTGTAAAGAAAAAGGCGAAGGCTTGCTGTTAATATCAGAAACCAAGAGTATGCATTTTCAGTAACTAATAGTGTCTTTTGCATAGTCACTAGTTATGAGTTTACGGCTCTAAGGATCATATAAGGTAACATGATTAACGTGCCTTTTTCTCTTGTGTTTATGCAGATTGACATCAATATATGTTGTTTTAAGAGTTATAAGAAGCAAAGTGACGCTTCCAAATACTTTTCTATGTGTGAAAAAAAAAAGAGGAAATAATCTTTTACCAAAAAGAAAGGGTGTGTGTGTGTGGGGGGGGGAAATTTATTCAAATATTGTTGAGCGTTGATATACAAAGGGAGTTTAGCGTTAAACTGTATTTGAGTGCATATAGTTAGAAAATATCAGAGCATGAGTTATATATATTTATATTTTATGTGGCACAAAGATTTTTTTTCATACCTTTTATAAGATCTTTTTCTATTATTTTCTTCAGGCTTTGTTAGCTCTTGTGCATTGTCGTAGTATTCCAGGAAAATTTGTGCACCTGGAATTGAAATGGACATCGAAAGTGGTAATATCTCCATTGTAATTGTATCTAATCATCATTTATATATTTCCATGGGGTCAAGCCTTCTATTCTTATACAGATCATCAAGAGTTAAAGGAAAATATACTATATGCTGAAGCGAAGCTATTGGAACAAGAGAGCCGCTTGTGCCTCTTATATGCCATACAGACCGATATCATCTAACCCTGTAGTTTTTTTTGACATCACTGTTGAGGGTGAATCTCTGGGCCGTATCTTTGTAGAACTTTTTAGGGATGTTGTGCCCAAAACGGTTGAGAACTTTCGTTCTCTATGCACTGGAGAACGAGGACGGAGTGTTTGCCCATTATACTACAAGGGAATACCGTTTCATCGAATCATTCCTGGTTTTATAGTACAAGGCGGAGATATTCTCACAAAGGATGGCAGAAGTAATGTGAGCGTTTTTGGTTATCCATTTCCAGACGAAAGTTTCTTGGGAAAAGCAGGCAAGCACCTTCCAGGAACTATAGCTATGGCACACAGTGGCCCCAACCAAAACGGGTCGCAGTTTTTTTTCAACCTCTCTTGCAATGAACACTTGGATGGTAAATTCGTTGTTGTTGGCCAACTGATAGACGGTTGGGAACTTGTGAATGAGGTCGGCAAAAGCTGTGGTTCGCGCTGTGGAACACCAGTGAGCCGCGCGTGGATTTCTGAATGTGGGCAAAGCGGTGGATATCTTGCTGAAGAGACAAAACAAGCCCTAGAAGGCGAGCGTTTGCTCCATGATATGCCTGGGAAAGAAGTTCTCGACCTTATTCAGCCACGTTACTAGCTTTTCTTTGTATCATTTAAACTTTTGACTTCGCCATATTGCATGATGCACAAACACCATATTTTGTCAGTTACCAAAGTATGTCTTCATCTTACTTTGCGTAGACACTCTTTGCGCTTTGGTCTTGAACTTTTTTCCTTAGTGCAACAAAAAATTTTATTTCAAGTGCTAGAACTTAACACAGGTAACGCGTTTGGGATGCATTAGTAAAAAGCTGATCGCCTTGTGATATTCTGTACTGGTAAATTACACTATTTTTACTGAATGGATTTTCCATTTTGAAAATGATTCAAAATATTCGATCCTTCCACAAGGCATCCTGCACGCAATGAGGAAAGATTTGGCATAGTTATCGATTTTTCAGTTCTAGACGGTCTGAGAGTGAGCTTCCATTGGTATTTGAACTCGGAGCACACATTCATGCTCTACTATTAGAACTGAACAACGTCACAGGTCTGGAAACTTATAGTTTTCCGTTTGATCTTTCATAGAAGATAGTAGACAGATGATAGTAGCAAAATAAAAGGTTTTATGAAAAGTTTCAAGCATTTATTCACACTGCTACAATGTGAAGGGGTTCGTAATACCTTATCCCTTACTTTCTATGTTCAGAAGTAATAATTTGATCTATCTAATTTTTGCTTTATATGCGGATGACGGAAAAGGGAAATATGTACGTGTTACCCTCAGATAACTTAAGGATATTTGTGTTTTCATCAACCATTTATGAAGTTTTTTTCTCAAAGTTTTCTTTCTTATTGCTTTATAAGGAGTTCTCAGCTTAACATATTTTAAGCTTTTCAGGGGATATATTTATAGGCGTTTTTTGTATTTTCTTTCTTCAACATAAGCCTTGGTGCTTCAATGTCTACGCAGGTCCGAAAAAATAGGCATTATCGTCCAAAGTGTCCCACAAATGACAGCAACAGCGAGTTGCTAGGCTTTGGGTTACCCTCCTCGCCTATTCGACGCCATCCTTGCTCCTATCAAAGACCTCAGCGAAAGCGAGTTTTGCCAAAGGAAATCAGCCTCATTATTCTCCTCCTCGCAGTGAGGACAGCAAGCGAGATTAGCATGAGGAAACACATGCTGAGTTTGGAATTAATCGCAAATTCCTACAACTTTCCTGGCCACCCCTCCATAGATGACGCAGAGGAGAGTAATGTCCACTTCAACTCGATGCCGTCTGGCAAATACGTGTCCTTCACCGAGCTTTATTCAGATGGCATTTTGACCTCAACCATGAGTAGGTGTTCTAGCTCTGATGTGGCTAATGACGAGGACCCTGACGATCAGGAAGAGGAATCAGAAAAGAGTGAGAATATTCTGGAGGCTGGCGAGAAGCTCCAGGACATGGTTTATGCCCCTACTGATAACAAACTCGCCGCCCCAGGTGAGCAGTTTGCGTCTAACGAGGTAGTCTGGGAAAACATCTTTAGCTACATGACTTGGCAAGAGACCTTCCCTATGCGTGGGATAAGCCGGTTTCACTATGTCAAGACGCTGCCCTTTGTGTGCCTCACGCGTATGCCGTCCTCGAGACTCCCCGCCATCTTCATCCCATGCCGCGAGGATCTCGACGCCGACGAGGCGATGGTCGACCACGCGCTCCGCCCACGTCCGGAGCCATGGACGTGCCCTCGCTGTGGGCTCTTCAACAGCGCCACAGGGGGGTGGTGCGGGAACGACCAGTGCCGCGCGACGCGGCCCGCGAGAGGGTTTCGCATTTTCCTTGGCCAGCTCCGCCGGTGTGGGACGGTGGCGATGGTGCGTTGGCTCCTGCGCAACGTCCTCAACGCCCCGGAAGGGGCGTTGCGGTGTGTGGAGAACCACCGCAACACGACGACTGGGCGGGGAAAGGGCTGTGCGTGGCCCACCCTTCTTGATGAGCCCACCGCGCTGCGGCTGCTCCACGCGAATCACCGCATGCTCTTCGACGCAATCGGGGGGGTGGAGGGGATGTGGGTTGCCTCCCTGGGTGGGGAGAGCGCGCTGAAGGTGGAGTGCCGGGGGCGCGAGGAGGAACCACATCGACCCAAGCACCTGCCGCGGGGCACCATCGTCGTGGAGCTACCCGCCGCACTCGCGCAGTCGGTCGACGCCGCCAGCTTTCCTCCTCCGCCAACGTACGATGATTCATTGAAAATGCATCAACCCACTCTTGAACAGCCATTATTCGATAACAAAAAAGGGATGTTGTTCATAAAGCCTAGGGTGTGGCGCCACGATCCGTACCAGTGCTCCATACTAGAGTAGCACCTCAGCACTTAACACTTTCTTATGTTAAGCGTTTCCTTTATTGTAACTTTATATGCTAAACTAAGGGGGTGGTGGTTTTAATCCTATCACTCTATTTTTTGGTGAATTATTTAAAGGAAAGAATTTTTTTTTAATGATCAATATCATTGCGAATGCGACGATGATTTATCTTATTCAGGATATAATATGTAGTGGTAATAGGCAGATGGAGAAGTATTGGAATGTAGTGGATAAAGTTTTACACTTATTGTTTATGGAAAAGTGATCGAAAAAACAGAGTTTGTTTATGTACCTTAAAGTGGAAAGCTATACGGAGAATTTTGCGCATGTTGAGTTATGCTATATTTTTGTTTATATTTTTATACTTACTACGCCCTTTTGATTTACAATGATCCTTGATGTAATGTGACTACAAACCACAGAGGGTTATAGCTATCAGATAAAATGATCTTCCAGTTCTGGGACACTGGGTGGAGATTGCTGTATTTGAACATCTGATTTTCACGCATTTCCTTTATTTCTTTTTATTTAGCTTCTTACGGGGAAAAAACACTTTCTTTGATGTTTGACAAGTTTTATTAAATCATCATTTAGGTGATGATGGGGGAAGTGAATTGACTTTTAAATATAAATGTTATGAATCTGAAGGCGATTATTATTTTCCTTTTCATCATACTAAATTGTCAGCGATTTTCAAATAACAACACAGAACAACAAGAAGAGCTTATTTAAGGAATAGAGGTGCTCACATGATGTGAGCTGTTGCTGAGGGTGTATTGTGTAAGCAACTGAAAGGATCTCATTTATTTATCCCTTCTTAATCATCAATTTTTAAAGGTATTCAAACAATACAGGTCTATTAAAGATATCTAGTCTAAAAAACAAATTACTAAGCCAGTAGACGCGTCTATAATTTTGGTGAGGGGCCGATTAGTGTAACAGAAAAAAAACTCACATATTAACGTTAGTAAGGCAGCAACGCCGGTGGACGAGTAGCTCTTCAATTTCAATATGCCAGCGGACGCTGTTCTGATGGATAAAATCATCGAGGGCGATGGAAAGACTATTCCTCGTCCTGGTAGCATTGTTACATTAGACTACATCGGTTATCTAGAAGACAACACTAGGTTTGATTCGACTACTACCCGCGGTCGACCTTTCGTGTTTCGCGTGGGTTGCGGTGAGGTCATCAAAGGCTGGGATGAGGGCATCGTGCAGATGTCCAAGGGAGAGCGGAGTAAACTTACGATGCCGCCGTCTCTGGCATACGGTGCTTCAGGATTCCCAGGATTGATTCCCCCTAATACTACAATTGTATTTGAAGTGACCCTTCTCGACGTAGCGTAATCTGGTGCTATATGTTTATGGATCGTATTCTATATCAGATGTATATATCTCCCTTACCTCATTTTTCCCGCTTTGATATGCTGTTTGTTTGAATGCGCATTCCAGCACTTGTCCGATGATGCTGGTGGTTTTATTCAATCGTGTGTACTATGCACTGTTTTCGAGTTGCTTTTGGAAAAGGGGAAATTTTGAAGAAAACGAACATGAGAATGGTCTAACATGCAACGATACACACTTTTGAGTCAGGAAAATCAACCTAACACAAACGATAATGCTTAGAAAATTGCCGATGCTTATATTTTAATCTTCTGGTCAGGGACTCTATGATAGTAAAGTAGTGAACTAGTTCGAGCTTGTAGCATCACATTTTTGCTAAGTGTCCTTAATATTTGTACACATTTCTTCTCATCTCTTTGCCTCAAATTGCCATTTGAGTTCCAAACTTGTTTTGCTTCCTATTTATTTGCCAGTATTATTGGGAAAAAGAAATCATGATCTTAGGCGATGAACCGCGAGATGTAAACTTGAGGGAAACGTCTTCCATTTTGAGACACATTGAGTTGATGCAGGACCCTGAAGGGGCAACTTTTCCTGCAGACAATGTTCACAACCCGCAATACAGGACCGTAGTGGCTAATAGACATTCTTCAATGTTTCATGCATATCGTTTGAATCCACTTATGTCTGAAGCAGCGGTTGAGTGCATCGGAACATTTCTCTTCGCACTGACGGTTCCGCTCTGTTTGAAGTATAACCCTGAGATGGCGTGCATTGGTATCGGTTTCTTCTTCGCATCGTTAGTTTTCAGCTTTGCTTACATCAGTGGGGGGCATTTTAATCCCATAGTCGCAACCTCAATGTGGTTGTCGATGCCTCCAGGGGAGAGGCATAACGCTTTTGGAGGGTCCAGGCTCGTACTTTACGTCCTAGCGCAAATGGTAGGTGGCTCACTGGGTACCCTATGCTACGTGGTGCTCGAGGGTGCCGACTCTACCCTGCCGAACATAGAGGAGGGTTTACCTCAGTTAATGCGGGGCTTTCTGGCGGAGTGCATCTTTATGTTTCTGCTGTGCTCCGCCGTGCTACACACGGCAGACAGGAAGTTGTTATCACGGGCCCACTTTCATGGGCTTGCGGTTGGCTTCACGTTGGTGTGCAGCGGACTCACCTGTGGGCCGATACCACGCGGGGCCCTCAACCCTACCGTGGGAACCCCTTTGTTTGTTCTGCATCTGATACTCGGTGAGGGCTCCGTGCTGAAAGGGGGGGCGGGGGTATTTCTGGACTGGGTTGCGGGCGTGGTTGGGGCTGCCGCGGCGTCCTTCCTGTATTTGACCACCCAAAACGCGGAGGAGGAGGACTGACCCACACGAAAAAAGACGGACACAGGGAAGACTGTGCCAAAATGGAGTCCGTCGAGAGGACGAGTCAGGGGAGATCAAAATAAATTGAATAGACATGTAGGCAATGCTAGAACCGCAGACAGTGATATATCTGCGACATTGTAATGCATGCCTTGTTGAAAATACTTTATCCCTATCATCACATTAAAAAAAAGAGTAAAGGTGCTTTATTTGTTACTGCAGTAATTAGAAACACCATCTTAATCATTCTTTTCACTTTAAATAGTATACACTACAGCGCAGGTAGCCTTAGTATAAGTATCCGCAAGATCGTAATTAGTTTATGAGGCAGCATACCGGCTGGTCTCAATGTATGCGTGCGTGGACAGGGCGAGGGGAAGGGGGAGCGGCGCTGTAGATGATGAGATTACAAGCTTAGGACACCTTTGGATGCGGCCCGAGAGGCCGCATTTGAAAAAACAAACCTTGTTTCAATATCGATTCGTACTCTGACATCAGCGCCTACCTTGTCGCCAGCTCGGGCTGTGAATGCGTGTGCTGTTGTTGCTGCTGCCCAATTAGTGTATTGGCCTCGTGCGGTGGGGGCTGGGGGCGTGCTGTTGGTTGGGAAAAGCATATACCTCACTGATCTGGACTGTTCTCTCGAAAGAGGGCCCGCGTGTATAGCACCCGCACGCGGAGAGTCTACTACGGGGCTCATTGTTAACTGCATGCGGACGAATGCGGGGTGCCTTGCTGTGTGTATGCGTGCGTGGACAGGGCGAGGGGGAGGGGGAGCGGCGCTGTAGATGATGAGATTACAAGCTTAGGACACCTTTGGATGCGGCCCGAGAGGCCGCATTTGAAAAAACAAACCTTGTTTCAATATCGATTCGTACTCTGACATCAGCGCCTACCTTGTCGCCAGCTCGGGCTGTGAATAGGTTTATCAAAAGTCTACGTTTTTTTAGAACTCTTCTTGTTTAGTATTCACTGTTGTTCTTTCGTTCTGTAATAGCTTCGGGTTTGTGTTTATTTCTCTACTTTTTTATTCATTATTTCCTTCTTGGTAATCTTCAAACAACATTTTCCTTGAGTAAGGATTTAATCTACATAAAAGTCCTCCACTATAATTCTCTATTGCAGCTATTCATATAAAATTTCCTATACCTTTAAGATGGCTGCGCTTACTGATGAACAGATTCGAGAGGCTTTTAATCTCTTCGATACTGATGGATCCGGGGCGATCGATGCGGAGGAGATGGCATTAGCCATGAAAGGACTTGGATTCGGCGATCTTCCACGCGATGAGGTGGAGCGTATTGTTCGTTCCATGAAAACCAATGCCAACGGCCTTGTTGAGTACAGTGAGTTCGAAAAGATGATCAAATCTCGCATGGCGCCGAAGGACTCTCCGGAGGAAATTTTTAAAGCATTTCAGCTCTTTGATCTAGACAAGAGGGGAAAGATATCGCTCGCCAATCTCAAGGAGGTGGCGAAAATGCTGGGGGAGAGCCCTGGAGATGACGTTTTGCAAGAGATGATTGCCGAGGCGGACGAAGACGGCGATGGTGAAGTCTCCTTTGAGGAGTTTAAGAATGTTATGACTCAAATGAAAGGAAAATAGTATAGTGGCGACATCCAAGCAACTATATATACTGATAAAATTTTCTAACAAGGCCCGTCAGCGATTGAACTAAAGCGGTTAGACAATATTTTTGAGTAAACAATGGGTGGAGAGGGGTGAAGTCCGATATATTTGAACAGAAAAGAATAGATTGGGGTGCTCGACCTAGAATTGCTTCAAAACACTCACAAGCAATCTGACCCACATTATTTGTTCTTGATTTCGAATTTCAGTATAGAAATAGTTTATATATATATATTTTATTTGTAAGGCTCAAATTGTGATTCGCACTGCATAATGATCCTTTGATATTCTTAGGGATGCTAATAAATGAGGATGTGCATATGCTTCTTCATTTTTTCCGCATAAGGGAACTTAGTGAATAGGGGCTATAATGGAAAACCATTCATATCATCCTTTATTTTACTTTCTGGGCCGCAGTTAGGCAAGATTTACCTAATACAATATTAAGGGGTGAACCAAGGATACGCTTTAGAAAGACATTATAACCAAATCGCTTCACTATATTGCTAAATTGCGCATTTTCCCCCTTTTCACTTAGCTTACGAATAATGTTGCATCCACAGATCCTACCAGGGGACTTAGCTGATAGCGCTGTGCTGACTAACGCTGCTGCCCTTGATGTCCTATCAAGGATGACGACTGCTGCTCGCTCTTTAGATCCAAAATGGAATATCTCCTCGACCAATGCGTACACATCGACCGTTGGCCACGAGACCCATTTTAGCGACCTTGCAAATGAGAACTCCACGGCTGGGTTGACCTCAACCACCGCCACTCTTTCCACCTCTCCCAACGCGAATCCGATAGCCCACCCGGCCGGGGGAGATCCTGGTACTGCGTTCGCGTCGGACCTTCTGATCCCCCCGGGAGCCGCGCCGTTGCTGCGGCAGGGCCTTGACGCCCAGCACCACGCCCGGCTCGCCTTTTCGCTCTTCGTCCACGAGAGCGACGCGGAGGAGTCTGGGCGGCGGGGTTGGGTGGAGCAGCTTCGCGCGCAGCAGGCCCGCCGGGTCGCGCACGTCGAGGCCGACCAGGCCGCCCAGCAGCGGAGC